GCATGCTCTATAAAGGTCGCTAGGAGACAGTACCGCCGAAATACTGAGTTCTGATTGGCTGAGTCGATGTGGTCATGATCTAATGAAAACTAAACTTATTATTACTAAGATAAGTATTTTTTTAATCTACTGAATAACATCTCAAATGTAACTCCGAGATCTTTTGCTGATTGGACTGTAATAAGTTCCTTACCCCGTAACGACAGACGAAAGTCTGGGGCTTTCTAAATCATTTGGCGACTACCAAAAACCATAAGTTTTGTCTTGGATGCATTAAGAAGGAGGTGGTCGTCACAACACCAGTCACGAATTCTGCACAGATCTTCGTTCATCTCTGTTATTGCGAAGGCACATTCTGGATAGGAAAAGTAAGTGTATGATAGTTTATTATCATCAACGTGCATCTTGGATAAACTGCTCTGAAGAATTGTTGGTTGTTCGTTAACATACTGTACACCCTGTATATCCAAGAATACTGCCTTGTCTGACACGATCTGGAATCTTTCCGATAAATAGCTCGAAAACCAGTTAAGGGCAGCAGATGAAACGCTGACATCGTGTAATTTCAGAAGGATAATTTTGTGATCTACAGTATACTATCGAAAGCATTATTTATATCCCTAGCAGGACAACGGCTTTTAACTCTTTTCCATCGATAGCGTTTAATATTGAATCCGCAGCCTCGATCAAGGATGTTTCTGTCATGTGAAATCCTCTATTGCCACTCTGCTGGGTAGATAGACGTTGTTTTGTGTCTAAATAAGGAATCATTTGGTCATGCATCGTTTGCATAAAATTGGCAAAAGCGAGATGCGTCTGTTGTTGCTTGCTTGCTCGTCAGTCAGGGTTTTTTCAGGATTTTCTCTTGGGTCCGTTTTTGCAAAGAAGAACCTCGGGGTGTGGGGCAGCTGCGGGAGTCTGACACCTGTAGTAGGCTGTACCCAATAAGTGTAGTTGAGACGCAATGTGTTAAAGCAGACATTAAAGATGGCGAATGCGTTTGTTTTTCATCTGTTGTGAAATGAATTCCAGCCATTTTTTCCTGATTGTCGGGTTTCCAACAGAAACAAATTTCCACACGTCACGAATTTTCAAACAACTTCATTTTTACTGCACTGGATCATTTGGTGAGAAGATTGAGTTTCAAAACTCAATTCAAGATTGAGTTTTTGGGGCCGTTTTACGGTCCTAAAAAATCCCTGAAAAAGATCCTGTCAGTCGTCATGGTCACCACCTTTCGGAATGGACATGATTACAGCCATTTTCCAATTGGGGGGGGATTCTGGAAACAATTAGTGAGGTGTTAATAATGGATGTGATGATCTGATCGTTGGTAAGATGCGGGAAGACTATCTATAATGAATCGCAATGAGATCTGATCTATTCCAGGGAACTTGTTAGTAGGCATGGAGGTAACAATTTCTCCGATCTCTTCACAAAGATGAATTGTTCTGATTCAGGGCAAGATCTTGGTTTAAACTCTGTGCGAGGTCGTAATTACATTCTTCTGCAAGTGACTTGATATTTGGAATTGTAGTTTGGCCCACTGAAGAGGAAAGGCTGTATGCATTGAATAAATTGCATAGACAGATTTTCAGATTTTGCTTTGGGGGGGGGGGGCAAATATTTAGAGGAAGTTGAGCGAGGGGGAACGTAGCACCGCCAAACAAGTTGCCACAGGGCTCTGGGGGCACAGTTGCTAATGAGGGTAATTAAGGGGCAAAGTCCCCACAATATTTTGAGATTTTTGGTCTTATTTAGTTCAAAATCCTTGTTTTCAGTCCTACTTACTTCAAAATTCTTATTTCAATCACACTATTGTCATTTAATCCAATGAGCATTTACATTACTGAGGGGTGGGAAAACTTTCTAGGGGCGCTCAAAATCTTTTTGGGGAGTGAACCGCCCCCCCCCCCCGAAAATCTGTCTATGATAAATTGGTACAATTAATCCATGCACAAGACACAGCCTTGCACCAGTGGAGAGGAGTGTGAGACAAAATTGTGTTTGTCAAACTACCAACAGTTTACAGAAGGAGACGTGGAAGCATATGGAAAGTAGGGGGTTAACTTGGGTAGTCAAATTCTTAGCTTTTACCCAGGGATTGAATATTTCGATGGAACACATATAAGGAACAAGTATGGTATTTTTTATTTGATCCAATGCTATTTTCAGCATTCTAAGGAATGATTTTCTGTATGTACTGGCCTATATGACAAGCCATTAAAAAACTGAGTAGCCTCTGTGGAGAGTAGTGGTTACAGACTCCATTCCCTCATTGCAATGAAAGTCATGCAAGTCAGCTAAAAAATTAAAAGTGCCATAAAATGCACAAAATACAACTTAAGTGTGTATGTGGACCATTCTCAATGTGAAAAGTGCATCCAGTATCCTCATTGGTGCCGGACATCATATTCAATCTACTGTTTCAATCCATGGTTTCCACTCTTTTGTAAAGATGAAATTCAAGAATTTTTCAAGAAGGAAAATTGCACGGATTTTGCCCCTGAGTTGCACGATATAAATTTTCCATCTGAGTGGGTTACAAGTATTTTAAAGATGATGTCCACTTGTGTGCGCATGTGCGAAATTTGTTTACGTTTGAACTGCTATATTTGTAAAATATGATATACTAACTGAATATCTAACACTTTTCTGGTTCGCCATGCTTGTAAATGCATATAAACTCTACGTTTCAATTCGAAAAAGTTCAAAAGATGCAAAATTTGGGCTATGTTTATATCTGGGGATCCCCATTTGTTATGAGCAGAACTGATGCGCAGAACGGAGTGGACATCATCTTTAAAACTGTATAATGCAATCTGGACTTTTGCAACTATGACTGGCCAATTTATAACATCCCTTTGCAGAAAGTTTACAGAACTTGGCACATGCATAATTTGACCATCGATTATAAAAGAGTCGGTTTTTTATAATCCATGGTTTGACATCACATATTATATACACGGGTAAAAATTGATCAGGTTGTTCAAACAGTAGCGAACAATGTTGTGCTGCACCCCGTGAACAATATTGTTAACAAGTTGTTCCGAGTTGTTCAATCATCAATATTGTTGCAAGTTGATAACATGATTGTCAACAAGTTGCAACAATGTTGATGGTTCAACAACATTGTTAACAATATTGTTCATGGGGTGCAGCACAACATTGTTCGCTCCTGTTGTGAACAACTTGCATCAACATGATGATTTTTACGCGTGTAGAGGTCTTTATCTCAAGTTGGGCCGCCGACCAGCGGTTATCCACAAAAACGTGGAAAACTGCACGTTGTAAATGGATACACAAGAATATTTGCATGGGTCAAATTTATATATTTTATATATGGAAATTTTATTTTTATGTACAACCTGATGAACATTGTAGGGGGCATAACAACAGTAAACACTGTAGCATACGTTTATTAAGTCAATTTCTCTTGCAAGAAAAAACACGCTAGTCAGGTCTCAGGGCATATATTGACTTCATGAACATTCGCACAACTACACCAATTTGACCAAACAGGGATAATATTTAGGTTATAAAGCACACAACTTACCTTATTATAAGCGGGTAAACATATCCTTGAATTTATTTGAAAATAAAAAGAACTATATTGCAATAACTTTCGATAACTAGCCATAACTCCCTATTCTGTACCACCGGCCACCTTAATTTGCCTGCTTGTAGGCTATTTATTGTTGCACAAGTTCTCGTACATACTTCCGGGAAGGGGATGGGAAGGGGGTTCGATCTTCCGGTATGATCTTCCAACCGTGTTGGGACTGGAAATGACTTTTGGATTTGGAATTTCACCGCCATTTTGAACTTCCAATATTCTATATATTTGTATATATTTTTTATATTCTTTGTGTGCTCTGAATTTATACTTCTAGCAGCGAGTTGGTGAATCTGAAAATCAGAAAGTAAAGGTAACATTTTACAGACAATGTGACCACTTTATTATTAATTAATAAATTAACTGTCAAATTATTAGAGGCCTACAGTAAAATCAAAACTCAAAAGCCTGTACTGCCTATATATGCAGGTATCAGCGGCTTTCCCAGGGGGGTCGACCCCCGGGCCACCCCGGGGATTTGTCAAAACAGCCTTGACAAAAGGACACTAATGCCCGTGGGTTGGGGCAAAATTTTGTCACAAACGCCCAGTGTTCAGCAAAGTACTCAAAATTTTTACTTAAGTAAAAGTGAAAAGTAACACCTCAATTTTTACTTAAGTAGAAGTAAAAGTACTGACTGAAAATTTTACTTAAGTAAAAGTAAAAGTATTGCCTGAAAATTTTACTTAAGTAAAAGTAAAAGTATTGCCTGAAAATTTTACTTAAGTAAAAGAAAAGTACTGGAAAAATATACTTATTAGTAAAAGTACTACTGAAATAGAATATAAATTCGTGAAATTTGGGCGGAAGTAAACCGGAAGTAACAGCCCTGAGCCAAGCACATTCCCACAATCCCACCAAGTCCCACCCAATCCCACCAGTCCGTTTTAATAAGAAATACTTTTTTAAAATTTTTACTTCTCCAAAATATAACAAAAGTAACGAAGTAAAAAAGTAAATATTTACCAAAAATCGTACTTCGTTACAAGTAAAAAGTACTTCATTAAAAAAATACTTCGTTACAAGTAAATACTGATTTTTTTACTTAAGTAAAGTAACGAAGTAAATTTACTTCGTTACTGGCTAACACTGCAAATGAAATGCCCCTACCTCCGGGGCGAAATTTGGAAAACAATAATTTCAAATATAACAAATGGTTATTTACAAAGAAATTTGTAGTAAGTTAATATACTTATTAACATAATTTTGGGCATCTCGTTCAATAAACAATGAAGCGTAGGCCGTAAAGAAGATATTTTTTAACTAAAAATTCATACACAATTTTATATCGGGACATTTGTTATTAATATGTTTGCTATTTTAACCTATTTAATAAATCAGTATCCGATACAAAACGTTTAAAAAGTTTGTGTCCTTTATAGTTTCAAACAATTATTCTGGTGTTTCCAACTTTTATTGAGGATAGATGGCTAATTATTCATTTATAAATAAAAGGATTAAATTACATTCACCTACCATCGATTGCTACTAAGCGGAAACACGTCATGAGAAAACGCCTGCATCGTACCCAGGCGGTATGTTGTTCTATTGCTCGCGTGGCCTTTGCGTGGGACGCGTGCCGTCCCACGTGTACAAACCAAAGCGCCTGGGTACAAGGCAGAGAAAACGCAATCTATAAATTGGACATAGCTTGCGTAGCCAGCGGTTTGCCTCGCCTCCCTAATTTTCGCTGCCCGCGCCTCAACCCCAACCCTTAAAACTGCCGGCTACGCAGGCTAATTGGACATGAAACATAACATGTTTGGACTTCAAACTTTACATGATTTTGCTGGAAACATTAGACGGTTTACAATTATTTTTTCCGCGAAAACGTAACAAAGTTAGTACAAACATTGCAAACTGCAATACTGAATTTGTCCACTATAAACACAAAATATAAGGCCTGTTTCATACGTCGAATTTAATTCAGACGAATTTAATCACGGATTTAGTGTTTGCAAGCTAATCCCCGCCCAATATGAATGTGTTTCTAAATTTGAAATATTGACAGTTGACTGTGAGTGTCAATATTTCAAATCCAAATTTCAAGTCCAAACAAATCATGTTTGACAGCCAATTGGACATGTTTTCTCATGACATGTTTCTGCTTTATAGTTGCAATCAACGGTATATTGTTCATGTGCTTCGAAATGCTTCGAATTTGCTTCGAACTTCGAAGGTTCGAAGCGTCTTCAAAAATCATAATTAAGAATTTTTTTGATGAATCACCGCTGACCGATATAGCAGCAGTCCATATGCAAATCCCGGGCGTTTGCCCCCGGGGTTAATTTTCAAAATACAAATGTTGGCTAAATCCCGGGTCGTGATTTTAAAACAAATTCCGTGCCATGCCCGGGGGTTGCCCGTGAGTTGCCTGGAGGTCGACCCCCTGGGAAAGCCGCTGATACCTGCATTATCTTATTTGTTTAGTTGTATAATCTGGGGAAGTTATGTGAATCATGTGATGGGGGGGGGGGAGATTATGTGATATGGTGCTACCTGGCATACATACGGTAATCAATGAAATGACCCTGTATGGAATGAGACTTTTGTGCACCGGACATGTGCACCAAATACTAGTAAATATAGTGCTGTACAGTGGTACCGGTGCACAGCACTTACATGCCATGCCGTAGTGGATGAAATCTGCCAGTTTGCACAACGTGGCACATTTTGACGAGAACTCTGGTGCGCTAAACCAGATATCCGAGGTGCCGATGCATTTGAAATCATCAGGTGTGCACCTGAAAAGTTGTAAAAATCACTTCAAGTGCAGCTCTCTTACCAGGGTTTTAGCTAGGATTTCCAATTTTGGGCGTGTTTTAAATTTTTTTGGGAGTGTACTCATCGAGTGCCGTAGGCACAATAATTCTGGGGGCTCCGGGAACACACCCCCCCCCCCAGGAAATTTTTAAAGACTTGCATCTCTGAAATGACGTTTCCAGTATTCTAAGAGCACATTTTATGAAAGTGTTCAGGTTTTTAAAAGACCTTGTTAATGTTTGTTCGTTCACTGCAACCAGGTATATCAATCATGTTTCGCTCGCTAACCAGAGTACTGAGAGTAGTGAGTGAAACAAAATCTTATCAATGGTGCATTTGGTGATAAATCACATGCTTACCCAGAATAGCACTAGTGAAAGTTTTATGCATTCCAAAGTTTCAGCCAAAGACTTTTAATGTTTTATCACATAACTTGCTAAATGTGCTAATACCTTCTGTGACCAACAAGGCAACAACACATGTAAAACAGAACTTTTATTCAATTGACCATTTGTGTAATAGACTAAATTTTGAACTAAACAAGTCTAGACAAATATTTCATCACAGCTTGAAGGAGCATCGCAAAATTAGTAATATTCCAAAGTTTCGTTGCAAAATGTTGTAAAATTCGGAAAATATAGCCTTGCGAAATTTGCAATTTTCAGTCATTTTAGATTACAAACGGGAAATTGACAGCCCCAAACCCTTCGAGGCTGTCAATTTCCGGTTTGTAATCTAAAATGACTGAAAATTGCAAATTTCGCAAGGCTATATTTTCCACATTTTACAACATTTTGCAACGAAACTTTGGAATATTACTAATTTTGTGATGCTCTTTCAAGCTGTAATGAAATTTTTGTTGAGATCAAATTTAGTCTATTACGCAAATGGTCAATTTATACAACATACACTAATACAGTAAATATAGTTTTGGTATCTAGTACCACCTGTGTGGCTTCTCGTTAAATATAGCTAAAGCAGTATCTAAATCAAGGGACTCTCCTGATGTCTTAGAATATGACACTCTCACAAGCTCGTCCAGTATATTTATCCCAAGCCTTGTTCTCAGCTTGGTTTTGACTCTATTCTGAACGCTAAATACACGTTCAGCCTCTGCATTTGAAGGCATCGTTGTCAAGGTCAAGACCATAAGCTTGTATATTTCTAGAGAAGGGAAGAGCAAACATTGTATTCACATTATATGGCAACTGGTAGTATTAGTAAACTGTTTCTAGGATTTAGGAATTTAATATGATGCTAATGGAATAAACGTACGTGCATGGATAGATCATTTTGTTGTCTACATTGCCACCACCAAATAGCTTAGTAAATAATTCTTGCGGTTTGTAAAAACAGAACTTCAGCTGCTCATATTCGTTTCGATCTTCTCCCCTGTTTTGGTAAACAAGCCGTTTGAAAAACAGGAACTCTTCTTCCGCAGCTTCTGGTTTCACCAAAGCCTGGATGACTTGATTCTCCAAACGCTTAGGTTCGCCATAGAAATCGAGCAGGTTTTTGAGATGGTCATAACCCCATCCTGCGAGTTGCTGAAGGTTTTCTGGGTAAGCAGAAGGATCAAATATCTATAAAATAATGAGACACTAGATACTACGGGATGCTGGATAATAAATAAAAGCTGATTAACTGTTTTTCTATTTGACTTCGTTTTTCAATTTACATTTGAGCTGTTAACCTTGCTAAGGCTTTTCGTCCACCTTATACTACATATATATGTATACTAAAAATATACTGAACTAAAAAACTATTTTTTTTACAATGATTGATATTAACTACCTGAAAAGCAGAAAGTAGTTGAACATTGGGGAACCTTGATGTGATGTTGTTTACCAGGGCATCAATGAATGCTTGCCTGTCTGTCTCAAACTCTTCCAACTGATTCATTCTTTCGTTTCGATGAGGATTAGTTTTTAGGTGAACTCCTTCAAAAATTATCTCGTCAGATCCTTCTTCCACACACTCAAGAAACATCTGAAGATACTTTCCAGGTTGATTCTTCATATCTCAACAAATATTGGTAGCTAAAGTAATTAAATTGATATTTATTCATCTTAGTTAGTCTCTTATGAATTATAGTAACAACTTTATAAATTTTAGTTACAGTACCTGACTTTGCAATGTAGAAAATGAAATATCTCGATACTGAAAAATTCTGCAGAGGTGATTTGTAGCTCCCACGACGTCACCCAAGAGATGGAGTAGAGCTACATATTTATACGAGGATAGCTTTTCCAAAAGTCCCATCGAAGTAGGCTCATCGTTAGCAGCTTCTTCTTCAAGCAGAATAAGCAGGGGGTGGTAATTATGAATCACTGCCTTTACTGCTTCCCCAACAGACAACCACCTTATATCAAAAATCTAAAAAGAAAACAAGTTAATCATCCAGTTTCCCTCTTCAATGGTCCAGGATCTGCTATATTAATTCATAATATTCATCTATATTAATTCTTACTCGCTTGAACTTTAGATACTTTAAGGATGGTGCAATGTTCTCGTTTCCTTCTTCAGGTGCATTGTCATGATTAATCGCACCTAGCACATCAGCCAAATTTTTAAACTTTTGAAGCCTGTTAGGTGAGTTGTTCACATGCTGGTAAATAGTGCTGAGTATAGTGGATAGTGTATTCACATTCTTTATATCTTTTGCTGCCTTGGAAACAGCAAGGTGAAGTCTGTGGTTAATGCAGTGAATACCAATTAGAAATGGGTTCTCTCGCTGCAGAAGTCCCAATACACCATTCATATCACTTGCCATCACAGATGCCCCATCTATACCTAAACCTGTGAGCTATAGAATGTATTAATGTTGTATAAATTCACAACTGTACTTCATAATCTTTTTAAAATATTATTAATAAGAGATCACTAATCTCTGGTCAAATATTTCCTGAGTACTCATTTCAATTATGTAAATGTAATGTACCTTGTTCACAGGAATGCTAAAATCTCCTAGGATTTTCTTGACAGCTTCAACAATTGCTGGAGCAGTGCCGCTTGTAATAACTGATAATTTAAGAAATGAGGTCTTGATCTTCGTTTCGTTGGAGTCGACATATCTAACTACAGCAGCTATATGCTTTTCCTGTGACCTATCTGTGGACTCATCGATACCAAGGCCAATGAAGGGCGAAGAATTAAGGTGGTTGAGAATTTTTCTCAGGAAAACCTGTAATTCCATACAATATATAATTTGACTCCACAACATTAATTAACAATATAACTACTAACTGAAAAAAAACTATTACATACCTCACTTAATGAGTGGAGGAGCTCGTGAAAGGATTCTGGACTTTCCTTTTTACAATTCTTTCCTCGATTCATTTGAATGATGTCCTTGACACCCTGCTCACGTTGGAACTGAAGAAGGCTTGGATATTTGCAGTTAGGAATTTCCTCACTAGAAATCCAGTAGACTGTTCTTAAAGCTGATTTATAAGAACGCGCTTCCTGTTTTTTCATTTTTTCCCTGGTTTTCACCACTGTGGATTGCGCTGGATTACGGGCCAATGCAAATCTTGCATGATCATTGCTAGCCATGTGGACAAGAAGAGTTTTTTTCCTGTAATTTGTTGAGAAAGCTGTTCTTAAAGCTGATTTATAAGAACGCGCTTCCTGTTTTTTCATTTTTTCCCTGGTTTTCACCACTGTGGATTGCGCTGGATTACGGGCCAATGCAAATCTTGCATGATCATTGCTAGCCATGTGGACAAGAAGAGTTTTTTTCCTGTAATTTGTTGAGAACTAAAATTTTAAAAAAAATGTTGGATTCGTACGTTTTTTGCCAGATAGAAATATAATCACCTGAAGTTTTGTGTTCCTTGCTCAGCCCACACTCCACATATCTTGTTACTTCGACAAAAATCACACCACATTGTGTTATGTTGCACATCATAACGTAGCCATTCTTTATATTTAGGATTCGAAAGCCATTTTTTAGGAAATACGGGAGGTGCTCTTGCCTTTTTTCTTTGCTTTCTGGGAGGTAAACTATTCATTCTTTTAAGCAGTGGTTGACCTTCTTCCTCGTCGCTGACGCACTCGTAAAATGAAAATATTAATTTTGAAATTTTGTTATTTCAGCAGACAGTAGGAAATTAGGACAATGGCAATTAGAAAGAAAATTCACGAGGTAGCCTTTCCTAGTTCTCGATGGGCTTATCTATGAAAAGTTGAAAACGAAAGTTTTAAAGAATACTATCATTACCATATCAGAGTCCATTTCCAAGTTCACTGCAACTTCATGATCTTCATCTAGATGATCGTTGAATTCATCGACAGAATTATCCGAATTTCTTGATATTCCTTCCACTGCTTCCAGTGCTTCGGGCCTGTTAATTATCCAAAATGATATACTGTAGATTGTAGAATCAAGAGTGCATTCAACATGCAATTATGCAAACATGCAAATTTATTGATGTTTTGTTATGTAAATGATTGTAAATGCAAATGGTGTCAGATAATAATTTATTAAATATTCAAGAAAACTTATTTCAGTGTTTGAGTAGAACGTCAGTACAAGATATAAATAAAATACCTTTGGGCAGAAGTGAAAAAAGCTCTTATGTCTCGTTTCTGTGACGCCATATTGCTATAAATTTTTCCCGCGTTTTCCCGCCATGTGGCCATGTGAGACTTTAAATTGATAAACACTAAAGTTTACATGAAGTAGCCTCACATGAGGACGCCATATTTATATTTTGTAAACATCCATCAAAACCACAGATTTTATAAATTGACGAGGGTAAATTCAGTATCTTTCTTGTAAAGTATTTAGAAATAAATATTAGTGGATTTAGGCATATTAATAATAGTATATTTAAATACATATTATCGCTAATTTTTGTCTTTAATTTCATGTTTTAAACCGACAGCAACACGGCTTTATATTAAATAACCAAGCCGTGTTAGTTTTATTTTGCCGTGTTTTTCCATTTTTAGCCGTGCAAACACGGCCAACACGGCCTTCTAGCTAAGACCCTGCAACACAGCAGCCATTAAATGCAGAATCAATCTACTTTCTCCATAGATCTGTCTTGCAATGCTTACAAATATCACCTGCTAACCTCAGCTGTCTTCCTACAACTTGATTTCCAAGTCACTATCTCATTCGGTAGTAATGCTCATTAGGTAGGGTTAGTTCAAAAACTAAGGGCCCCCGACAGTTAGGGGCCCCATCAGCCACGGTCTATCACCCATAAATTAGAAAACTGGTCAAAAGAAGAATCCATTGGAAAATGCAAAATTAATATAATCTTATGTTAAATATAAAGCTTCTATCGACAATGGTAGCTGATTCTTTTATTCCATCTCAAATAAAACAAAAGTTATTCTTACTAGTTGTTACATGTGTTGGGGACTGTTATTGTTATAGACACAGAATTTTCCAGCACATTCTATAAATATTCAATATAAATATAAAACTATATCTCAGTCAAACAATGACAGTCAACCTGTAGGGGCCCCCACACCAAATGTGGCCAAGGGCCCCCTCTTCTTCCATTATGCCACTGCTTGAGGGATCAAGCTAACAAAAGCACTGAGGTCAAGTGCGCTATATTTTGTTCAAAAGAGAATATTTGCCCTCTGGTACACTTGTGCCACGTTCTGCAAAGTGGGCAATCTGGTAATCAATATCAATAAATCAATTGGTATTGGAAACCAATGACCAATTAATCACTTGTAATATGACCTTTCATTGATTGTCAATTGATTATTGACGTGAACTGATTTTTTGCTCATGGATGTTGCGAAACAACATCTGTGAGTCTTTGTGGTTACTTAAATGTTGAACAATGGGAAATGACCAGCCTGCTTTGCACACACTGTTTGCCTGTGAATGCGGCCTTTCAGAACCAGAAATCGGGCTGGAGCACACATTCGTTCCTTTGATTTGGCAAAAGAAGCATGTCTAATGGCAAATTTAGCACGGTGCCCACATTTGCAAGAACAACTGCAAACTGGTCTAATTCTTTCTGTCACTTTCATTTTATCTCACCTGTGAGTCGGCTTCAACAGCCTTTGATTGTCAATTGAGAAAAGGAAAGTTAATTGCATGTCATTTAAAACAGTGATGGTGAAATTTTATAGTTTGCAGCATATGCATTTGTTTATTGTCAAAACAAAACAAACATGAATGCATTTACTGTATGTCTGTTTAATTGATTCATTGTGCAAATCCTTTGTGGCCAAAATTGGATGACGAAAGTGCAATTTCTTGGAGATAAAGGCTCCCAAAAAAGCTAGAGAAACAACATCAAGGTGAAAGTAAGGGGCTCACCATTATTATTGACATTGAATCTCATGTCCGATCTGGGCTTCCCCGTGGTGAAGTGACTGAGAAATGCGAAGATCAGGATGAGGGGAGGGGTCCCGCCGTTAAGGACCTTGTTTGCTTTTGGTGGTGCATGCTTCATTGTGGTTGACGTGTGGCCACTTTCTTTATTTCTTCGCAAACATATCAAATTACTTAAAAGTTGAAAATTAAAGCAAAACAATATAAGATTAAGATATGATTACAATTTATTTCTTAGTTCATGATTAAATTGATTATTGTACACTTATCCTTCATCAAAGGGTTAGGTATCTTGGATTTTCCTTTTATGTGTCTCAATGGCCTTTGGAACCAAAGTGGACTGAAATCAAATTTATCTAGTACCCTTTTTGCTGATAACTGAAAAATTGGCTTAGCAATAAGGGATTATGATGGCTTCTCTCAAAAAGTCTAAATCCATAGAGAAATTGGGGGGGGGGGGGATACACATTACATTCTCGAAGTTAAAGTCTCGATCTAAGACAACGACGATTTACTGGAGGAGCTTCATGTGTAAACTCTCGTTAAAGCATTTGTATATATGATTCCAAGAAGAATGGATTTAGTTTAGATTTTCAACTGTTAAATTGGCATGTGTATCATTACCATAGCATTGAATATTTTTTCTCAAATTTATTATGTATCTTATGAAAAGTAATGCAATTTTGAGAATGCGAGAAATGCGTCTCATAGAATTATCTAAATGCAAAATTTCCGATCAAATTGGTTATTGCCCCCGATCGGCATCACGCACACAAGGAAAATAAGCTGACACGGACTCCTCTTCCAGTTTTCCGAGGTGACTTTTCTATGCAATTCATTTAGATCCGAAGAGAAATATCTGGTAAAAAATCATGTCTTTGATGTACTTTATAATCCTCGGAATTCTGCAAAATTTCACCCCTAAAATGCTTCGAATAGCTGTTGTTACGCCACTGACAAACTAGTCAGTAGGAAATAGGAGTTGAGCAGCCGATTTTGAATGACATCATTTATATATTTTCCAGTTTGAAAATTAAAAGCCATAATTCACATTATTATTTTGCAACCCTGCCCGTCGCCTAATTTAGATAACATGTTGATGATTTAGAATAAAGAGGTTATTTTTAAAATCATTTGAATTCGATCTCCCAAGGAGAGATGTTGTAAATATACAGACAGCTTGTCTGCTATAAGTAATTATACACTTTAATCTATTGCCAAAAGCTAAAAGCATTTTTAAATTAATTGATAATTTTCCGTAATTTGGAGATAAAAAGATATTCCCTATCGCGTATGTTTTTTTTTGGTTTTTTTTATTTTGCTTAATTTAGATATTTCGTTATCTTGATACCATTGTAATAAACTACAAAAAGATCCTTGACCTTGTAGGACCTACTTAACATCTACGCTTCTCACGAATCACTAAATAAATTAATGTTTACGAATTTTAACTGTTAATGTTTACGAATTTTAACTGTTACAACTACGTGAAATAGGGTGTGTTTGTGCCACAATGGCAAGTGCCTTTTATTTGTACATCCCTGTACCTCTGATAGAGTTCTTTCAGAGTCCCTGACTCAACCAAACACAACTAACCTCAATATTCAATTTAGAACTGATAGAGCTATGCAGTATCAGAACTAGAAAGTTAGATTAGTTTTCATTTTCTACTGTCTAGTACTGTTGTATACTGAACCACTATCGGTGAGAAAAGCAGTTTAGCACCGAAATAGCTAGCTATCCATTATCAACATCGATATTAAACTCGGAACTTGAAACTTTAAGTTAGTTTAGGTTTCCTTACGTTCACTTATAATATATACTATGTTTATTGGTCGAGCAGAATCGTAAAAGGTTGTGTTTCAAGTCGCAGAATCGTAAGCAGTGGCGTAGTTTATGGGCGACATTTATCGCCACAAAAACCATCCTAAATGCAACATTCCGATTAAAATGAAATTGAGTTTTTTCCTCCCAGCATCATAGAGGGGAAATAAGCTGACACGGACCCCTCCTCCAGTTTTCCAAGATGACTTTTCCAATTATTTATTTCCGAAAACAAATGTCTGGGAAAAGGTACGTTTTTGAGATCATAAAAAATCATGTCTTTGATGTACTTTATAATCATTGGAATTCTCCAAAATGTCACACCAAACTGCTTGAAATTGCATTTCAGGAACTCCAGATTTCAAACTTTTGCCGAGGGAACATGCATGCCCGGAACGAGCCATGCTTTTGGTTTTCACTTCGCCCCTCCAAAAATGTGGCCCTGGCTACGCCACTGTTGTTGGCCAGCCGGCAAACATTTTCTAGCTCCGTAAATGTGCCCAGATTTTTCTAGCAGTTGTTTGAAAGTTACTAAATCGAGAAACATTTTACCAAATTTCGTCCTTACCCCATGTACATGCACCACTATGAAGACCCTGGAGACGAGGTTGATCAACATAGCAGAAGTTTGAATAAGTGTTAGCTAAATGTATGGGTAAATTCTTACGTCAAATATAAGTATCATTTCCTATTCCGTGTTTAAGATTAGTGGGTTTTGCTATTAGTAGCTTATAGCAATAACATCTCTGTTATACAAGACATCATTCAAACACAAAACTCTACCGAAAAATTACTGAAAAATTATAATCTCTCATCAAAATCTCAAATCTCTAAAATCCTTCCAAAATTGATGACTCGTTTTTTCTGCAGAGGTGCTTCCCCTAGCGGGACTTTCCCTTCCATCTAGTCAGTCCAATCAGCTAGCTGCACGAGTGAACACATACTTGTTGACGATGTTGATTTTTAAGTAAAATACAGCCTACATCGTTCGTAGTCGGGTGTTTAGGTCCCCAAAACAAGCACAATGGCAAAACTACAAGAGTATACGAAAGTGAACACAATGGATCCGGAAGAATCACAAGTACATGTAAATTTAACAGAAGGAAAATTAACAGCATCATGTACCATAAAACGTATCTTGTTGGGCATTGTGATCGGTGTTGCACTTTGTCTAGCTTTTTTCGCATTTCTCTGTTCAATCATTTTACTTAAGAAAGTAAACGAGTTTAACAAACAGAGGCTAAACGACGCAAAAGACGAAATCCGTTTCATACCACGAATCAGCGCTCGTATTGACGGCGAAATTCAACGGATGAGGACGAAGGATAAATCTGCCCCAAACACTAGACATGAATTGCGACAAAGCTTTGAAGATATAAAGGACCACTTGAACGTTCTTGTTTTCACCGTTGGAAACCTAAGCGCAGTTGTTCTAATAGCGAATAGCTCCTTGGACTCGAAAATGTCTCGTTTGCGCTGGAATTTGAATGATACTAATAATAAACTAATGCGTCTTCAAACGCAACTGACGCAATTGAATTACTCTGTTCGTAGAGATGTGCTACCCTTCGTTGTTGCAGCCGTGAACGAGCTAAGGCAAGAGCTAAATGTACTACGAAATTCAACCTCGACCAATGTTAGCGAACTGTGGAAACACTGGAATCAAACGAACTCAGAAGTCGAAGATATCGTAAAATTGATGGTGCAGCAAAACAAAACTTTGCATTTCAAAATGGCATATAAATCAGACTTCTTGTTCTCGGAGAAAACTGTCGAAAAAAGACTTCAAGAGAACGTTGAGAACCAAATCGCACTAGCCAACAAAACTTGGCACAAAGCACTTGAAGATGCCATTGGATCTCTTCTTTCGTCCGTGGCAAAAATAGATGTAAAGGTGGACGGTATAAAACAAGAGCTTCAAAAAAACATAAACAATAATATCAACATACAGAGAGAAGTGAAAGACGATTTCTCAAAAGCGAAATCACAGTTCCAAGAAAAAGACCGGAAACACGACTTAGCAATTTCCGGTCATGACTCAACAATGGAAAGCATGAAAAAAAGAATTGCGAAACTGGAAGCTGAAAGAAAGCTGGATTTGCAAATGATTGGGGAGCAGAAGCAAGAATTACAAGAGCTTCAAAAAAGCATGAACAATGATATCAACGAACAGAAAGAAATGAAATACGATTTCTCGAAAACGAAATCAAAGTTCCAAGAAAAAGACAGGGAACATGACTCGAAAATGGAAAGCATAAAAGAAAGAGTTGGGACACTGGAAGCTGAGAAAAAGCTGGATTCACAGATGATTGCGAAGCAGAAGCGAGAAATGCAAGATTTAAAGGAAGAAAAAGACAGGGAACATGACTCAAAAATGGAAAGCATGAAAGAAAGAATTGCGACACTGGAAGCTGAGAAAAAGCTGGATTCGCAGATGATTGCGAAGCAGAAGCGAGAAATGCAAGATTTAAAGAACAGAGTTGAAAAGATGGAAAACGGAGCAAATGGATTGCCGAAAACTAACATTCGATTTATTTTTGTACTTCTTGTTACTACTGCCGGGCTGCCTTACATGTCTTAAATTAGTTGATAAAAGGAGATTGAACCTTGCATGTTTAGAACCTTGATGAATGATGAATAAAGAAGTAAATATAGTAAAGTTGGTTACTGCATATTGGCTATCATATATATAACATTACTGTAAGTAATATAGTATCGGGAAAAAATGCGATGAACAATCACATTAGGGCAAAAATATAGAAAGTAGAAAGTAACCATTTGATGTTGAAATTGCAAGCTTATGGCTGTAAATAGATCGTTAAAATTTAAGATTTTAGTTTGAGATTTTGTAGTTTTTGTAATATTATGATAATTTTTACAGATTAAATATTTTTCGTGCACACATTCCGTGTTATTTATTTATTGTGGTGTTTTAATCTTGTATATTAAACGCATCTGATTGGTTAAGGTCTCTCAATGGTAGTGAAAGCCAAATCTAAACATCACTATATTCGATTGCCTGAATTTCTGACAAAACTGTAATTTACACTTAAGATTTGGCTGTTTTTTAATAAGCGGCTTTTTGGAGGAAGGGGCGGTCGAGGGTTAAAATTTAGTAATCGTAAGTCGTACCCCCGTTGGAGTTTGACCAGGATTCATTCTCATCCCCAGACTGCTAGTGTTAATTCGCTTGGTGGTCCCCGTTGATTCCCATGCTTACCTCCATTCAAAGGTTGGCTACTAGCAGAAGAATAAAATCAAATGTACCGAATTGGCAGGAAATAAGATGTGCGAATGGGTCAAAGGAAAATTACTGCAGTGGTAATCGGCCTTCGTAGTAGCCTAAGTGTATGGTCAACTTGTGAAATATTGTGATCAATAGTTTCTGCATCATGTGGAAAAATTGTAGCAGTTTCCAGGGATCATAAGTAGCTGCTTATGGCGTTAGCCATGAATGAAATTCTGCTAAGCACTGCATAGCTTTGTTAGGGTCCTACTTTAATCTGTTTGCTGTTATTCTTGGAAGCACGTACATAGCAGATTGAATTAATGCTTGTCCAGTACTGTACCTGTTGTTAAAAGTATTTATGTACAATAGTAGGGTATAAGGCGTGTAATATCTGGAAAACTTTATTTGTGAACACACTCAATATAGTAATGGTACAGTACATGTCCGCCATTAGTTGCTGTCCATTCATGTGTCCCCGTGCGTGGTCTGACAAGGTGATGTCATTACTTGCCGAAAAAACCCTCAAGTAAATCGGTTTTTAAAACACGTTCATAACTACACTTGAAACATGCACAATGCTACTCGAAATTCGCTTTCGTTTTATCCTTCAGGTTGAAATAGAACCTCTTGCAAACATGAAACACTGTTACACACGCTTTACACACAAGATTTACAATGACGTTACACATGTGGTTTTATTGAAATATACACCAGTTTTATAATATTCTCTTATTTAATAGACTTCTTGATATCTCGGCTACATGTAAACAACTGAATATATAATGTCCATATTCTAAATATAAACTAATCGTAATACGTGCGTTAATGATTAATAGACGTACATTACTATACCATTCCCTTTGTTTTAACTTGATTGTCAAATATCAAAATGTTTAATTAAATTTGAAGTTATTTAGCTATTTCATTGTTATGTTAGTTTATTAGATTTGATGGATATTCATGTCCGTATCGATTCGGTGGTCTTCGAATTCGGCTTGATCTTCTTGGTGCATTGTTTTCATTACTGATGGATGGCTGATTGTTCTGCGAGTTTTCTTCATAATCGAAACCTTCATCATCAGTGTCTTCTTCTCGTGGTTTATTTATTCGCTTGAAATGTGACACGTTCCGTTTCACAATATGACCATCTTTACTTTGGGCAAGTATCTCTGAACCAGTTTTCTTTATCACTTTATACGGTTTGTGATTAAAATTCGCAGTTAGCTTGTTTTTCTTTTCTTGTCTAACCAGTACATAATCTCCAACTTGTAGATCACTTTTTCTTGTGTTTCTCCTTTGATTTGCATATTCTCGGTTGCGTTCTTGTCGTGTTTTCTCATTGTCTCGAGCTTCTTTATGTCGATTGACGATCTTCTTGCTGTTTATTACTGGTAATTTTCCTTTTATCACTCGGTTAAACAACAGTTCTGATGGAGGTACTCCTGTAGTGCAATGTGGAGTGGTACGATATTGTAAAAGAAAACGGTTCAATTCTTGTTTCCATGGTCGTCCTTCGAGTGTCGCTGTCTTAAGCGCTTTTCCTAACGGTCGCATAAATCGTTCAACTGTAGCATTACCTTGGGGCCAGTAGGGTGTTGAAAACTTAGCTTGAATACCAAGGGCTTTCAGATATCGTGCATAATCGTCTCCGTTAAAAGGGGGCCATTGTCAGATATAATGGTGTCAGGAATGCCATGGACTGAGAACATTTTGTCAAGTTTTGGAATGACTGTTGAGGCTCGTGTTGAATGAACTATCTCAACCTCTGGGAATCTGGAGTATTTATCTACCGCCACTAACAGATATTCAGACGATGGTAGTGGACCATAAAAATCTATGTGGACAGTTCTCCATGGTAACTCTGGCATTTCGGTCATACGTAATGGTTCTGGAGGATTCGCCTGTCCGACAGCTTGACAAGTGGTGCACTTAGCAATTGTGTTTTTTACTTGGTTGTCAATTTGCGGAAACCAGATTTTTTCACGAATTAGAGACTTCGTTTTCTCTATTCCTAAGTGTGTCTCATGTGCTATATCTATTACACGTTGTTGTAGAGCTGCAGGAATGACAATCCGTGTTCCTCGAAGTATAACACCGTGTGTGGTAGACGTAAGTTCGTTTTTTACGGCTTTGAACGGTTTTACAATTGGGGAATCCCATTTGTTTGTTTTAATCACATCATGGAGTGCCGCGTCTGCGTTAGTTGCATTGATTATTTCTTGTAATGTCATCGCCTTAGGGACACTGTTCTGAGTTATAAAATTAATATATTGTCCCTCGTCTTCTCCTGTTTTCGTTTGCTTTCGTTTGTTGGATGACGAGAAAGATAGTCCGCAGGGTGGCTGGCACCTGATTTATAAATTATCTTAAATGTATATGGTTGGAGGCGAAGCACCCATCTTTCAATTCGTGCAGATGTTTTGGCTGTACGTTGGCCATAAATAATTTCGCTTCTTTTTCCATCTGGGAGTATCTCTTTTCTGTATCAGTCAGCGCTCGGCTGGCATATGCAATTATCTGTTGACTGTCTACGTCACCGTTTCTTGGTTTCTGAGAAAGAATTCCAGAAATTCCTACAGGACTAGCATCAACTGTCACAAAGGTTTGTTTGTTTTTGTCGAAATATGACATACATGGAGCAATTGCAAGCGTGTTTTTCAGCTTTTCAAAAGCAGTTTGGTGTGTTTGAGTCCACTCAAAACAAACATCCTTTTTCGTCAGGTCACGAAGGGGAGCAGTTAGTGTTGCAAAATCTCGAATGTACTTACTACTATAGTTGGCCATGCCAAGAAAGCTCCTGACTTCATTATTTGGTTGCATTATTTGGTTGAGGTGCATTTAATAGATCAGCTACTCTCCTAGGGTCAGGATGAGTACCTTCTTTCAAAAAGACCTGTCCGAAAAATGACAATGTAGTACTAAGGAAATTACACTTGCTTCGGTGTAGTCGTAAGCCCTTCATTGCAAGTCGTTGTAGACATTTGTCAAGATTAGCGTCATGTTCAGTTCTTGTTGAGCTGAATACAATGATATCATCAGCTATGTTCTTGACACCTTTAAGCCCTTGCAGTGCAGTTTGGAGTGTGTACTGAAATATCTCCGCTGCAGCGTTTGTATAGGTTGTTATATAACGAGACTGTTCATCCAGTTCTAACTGATGATACGCTTGACTCAAATCAAGTTTCGAGAAAAATTTTGCTCCATTCAGGGCAAAACTAACATCATTTACTGTTGGTATAGGATGGCGTACTCATCTTATAGCTTCATTTGCAAGCCGCATATCGACACATATGCGAACCTGTCCGTCTTTTTTGGGAACAGCCACAATGGGTGAAACCCAAGGAGTAGCTTCGTTTTCTGGCACTTTTTCACTGACATCTGGATTTTCAAATTCAGTTATCGCATTTTTCACTTTTTCTCGAATGTGATAGGGTATGCGCCTTTGGGGTTGTGCTTTCGGAATTTTAGTTTTGTCTATATCTAGTTTGACTTTTTCTCCCTTCAATTTTCCAAGATCGGAAAAAACTTTAGAATGCTTTTGAAGGATGTTTTCTAGTGCGGCATCCTTTGATGTCAGTTTGTCTAGATGCAAACTAATAAGTCCGAGTTCTTGTGCAGTAGAAAGAGAAAGTAAGTTTCCACAGTTCGCAGCTTTAGCGATATAGAATGTGGCTACAGATATTCGTTTTCGTGTTTCGATTACCGCTTCGAATTTTCCCAAAAATTCAACTGGTGATTTCGTATTATACGCGAAAGCTTTCGTGTTCGTGCAAGTTAATTTTATGTCTTGCATTTTGTTAAAAGTGTCATGATCGATCACATTTATTGTCGCGCTACTGTCAATTGTTGTTTGAAATTTGGCGCCGCCTACTTTAACATTGACCTTGTTATTGTGCTTTGTATTTGTCATGGTATATAAATAGACTTCATCGGAACTCGAGTTTGATCTTGTATCTAATGTTTTTAAATTTCTTTGTGCATGCTTTTTGTTTGAGTATGTCAGTGATCGCGTTTGTTTTTGTTTTCCTCGACAAACAGCAGCGAAATGATTCGGTTTTCCACAATTATTACAGGTTTTTCCTTTCGCTGGACATGCCCCTGTGTGTGGATAAGCACGCCCACAATTTCTGCAAATAATATTACTACTGTTCGAAATATTACCGTTATTAGGTTTTTGTTCTAATTTATTAGCCTCACCGTCAGTTTGTTCTTTAGATTCGATTTGTTGAGCTTGGTACTTGCTCTGTTCGTCACGACGTCCTTCTAAAAGCATTGATTTTAAGTCAAATGTAGGATCACACAGTGCTCGCTTTCGTATTTTCGATGAATTTCCGCCTATAATGATTTGTTCTTCGATTTCAAATTCAACGTCTGCGAATTTACAGGTTTCTGACATTGTTCTAAGTCTGGTGTGAAATTGATCTAATGTCTCATTAGGGCCATTTATACGGAACAAAATAAGACGCGACTTACATAAGACGCGACTTAAGTAAGATGCGAGTTTGTCGTTTAAAAGGTACAAAATTCTTATTTAAGACGCGTCTTGGATAAGACGCGTCTTACATAAGAACAGGTCTTTTAGCTGTTCTTATGTAAGTTGCGTCTTAAATAAGAAATTTTGGACAAAAAGTCTAACTACACATGCCAGAAACTTGAAACAACGTAAAAGTATTAGGCTTGCATATTAAAACAAGAACAACCAAAACAACATTATAGCTATAGCAAATAAATAAGACCAAAGCCGTAGAGAATCATTTATGCGATAACTCCGCTTATTTAAGTCGCGTCTTATGTAAGTGGCGACTTATTTTGTTCCGTATAAATGGCCCTATTGTGTTCTTGAGTTGTTTGTCGAAAACGATAAACTTCGTACCGCCGATTCTTTTGAGGGTCGAAGTAAGCCTTTAATTTCTGTTTCGCGATGTTGTAGTCCGTATCAGTTCCTGTCTCGGGGATTTGTTTAAAAATCCCGCAAACTCTTGGTCCGGCTTGATATAGCAAGAGTGCACGTTTTCGCTTTGGATCCGTTATTCCACTTGCGGTTATATACATTTCGAAGTCTGACTGCCAATTGTTCCATCTTGTCGAAAGGCTTGTTCCGATTTTTGCATCTGGGCAAAATTCTGGCATTGGAGTTATTGTTACAGATTGCATGATCTGTACAGCCGGTTGCTGCAGTGGTCGAGGCTCTACCTGCTCTTCCACCATCGTTTCGTTTAATAGAATACATTTATCTTCGTCGCCATTATAATATTCTCTTATTTAATAGACTTCTTGATGTCTCGGCTACATGTAAACAACTGAATATATAATGTCCATATTCTAAATATAAATTAATCGTAATATGTGCGTTAATGATTAATAGACGTACATTACTATAGCATTATCCTATGAGAATATCGGAAAAAGCGTTTCTTACTATTGAGATGTATTTATTCATCTAATAGCACTGCTACATATAATCCGTCTGTAATATAGTTGATCTTGGACCTATCAGTTTGCAAAAATTGACCACTTCTACAAAGCTGAAGTGCCCAGAATGTTCAAGGACGGTGCGGTAGCCATAAAAACCATAAAACTCTGTATTGCTGTGAATGCACCCGGTATTTTCATGTTAAGTGTGTAGGACTGAATACAAATAACATCTTGGGTCAATGGACTTGTTATTCTTGTGCTTTACCAAACTTTTCGGATTCATTCTTTGATGCATCTGTTAATAACCCAAGCTATTTGAATGTCTCCAGTGATGGAATCGGTGAAACAGGAACAATAGCTGAAGAATTATCGGCAAAAATACACAAAGAATATTCGAATTGCGCATTTTAATATAAACAGTATTAAGTTCTTTGTATGTTTGCATGGTGATAAAATATAATAGTTTTGTTTGTGGAAAGACCACGTAAATTTATTACTGCAAAGCTTTCGATCCGTAAGCCCCGGATCTTCATCAGTGCTGAAGATTAGGAGAAATAAACAATATATTATTAGCACTCAACAACATATTATTAACAACATATTATTATTATATTATATTATTAGCTTCTCCTCAACATATTATTAGCACTGATGAAGATCTGGGCTTACGGATTGAAAGCTTTGCAGTAATAAATTTACGTGGTGTTTCCACAAACAAAACTATTATAAACAGTATTGTTGGGTTCAAATTTGCCGAATTGAAGTTTTTCATCCAAGAAAATTTATTTGATATTATCATGTTTGTGGAAACACCGATCTTTACACAGCATTCTAAAGCCTTTGATGTAGAATTGACTGTCAGGAAAGGTATTGTCAATCTTTATTGACAATACCTTTCCTGACAGTCAATTCTACATCAAAGGCTTTAGAATGCTGTGTAAAGATCGGTACGGTGGAGGACTTCTAATATACATCACAAGAGAAATTATTAATAGGTTATGTGACTTCCATAACCTTTAGTATGCAACAAAAGAGAATGACCCAAAAGACTATTGTAATTGCTGCATATAGACCCCCAAGCTTACTTAAGTCTACTTGGACCCAAGATCTTAAACATTTGCTGCTTTGAACATGTAATCGTTACGATAATATGGTGGTAATCAGTGATTTAAATTGCAATTTATCACAAATGAAGCTATAGATTTGTTTTTATGTATTTTTGACTGCTTGATTTCCAAGTACAGGCAGTTGAAAGAGGGTGATGAGATGGTTTGCTAGACTTCAACCCAGGTTCCCAGAAAGGAAAAAAAATTTTCCACCCCTGAACAACCCACTGAAACCGCCACTGCACAGGTAAAATGTGTGTATCAACAAGATCTGACAAAGCATATTCATTGATTGCACTAAGCGTTGATAAAAATCTACAAGTTCACATTAGTACAACAACAGATCCTTTGGAAGCTTGGGAGACACTTCAAGTTTGTTTCTATCACCCAATATTACGTACATGACAACACTGGCAGAGCAATTGCGAGATATGAGAGAGGAGATTTCAGATCAGAAATTTGCCACAGTAGTTTTAGGAAGCCTTCCTTAATCGTATGAAAATTTTATTTCAAGTTTGAATGCTCAGAGAGTAGAAGATCTTAATTGGGAAAATTTCAAAAGCTTATTGGTTGAAGAGTACCATTAATCGAAAAGAGAAGCAAACAGAGAGTCCTACATACCAAAAAGTTCAAATGGTTGTTACCATAAAACTGGAATAGTTGGAGAGCAATTTACTGTTGAGCATGTTGCCAACTATCAGTGACAAATGGTTTTACTCCGGATGATCGACTAGAAGGATTGCATGTTGAAATAGCAGATTGGCATGCTGAAATGAATTTCCTTGGTGTAGGTTATTAATTTAACATTTAACATTAAGTTACAATCTGCTCTTATGTACAGTTTGTTGCCCAGTATGCGGTCAGTTCATATTTAGTCCGCTGTAAATCAGTTGCAATCCAGGTCAACTATCTCAAACTGCCTCAGCAGCATGCAAATTTATTTCATAATAAAATATAGAAGGACTGGAAATTCTGTCCTTCACCTTGTGGAGATATTTAAAATTATTATATGTCCTTTCTCTGCCCAGTATGTAGCCTGCGTAGCAGACGGTTTTTAGGGGAGGTTGCGGGCGGGGAAAATTAGGGCGGGAAAAGTTAGGCGGCAGGGGGAAAAACCGTCTGCCGGGTTTCTATATGATTTTGTTTGCCAGTCTACTGGTGGACTGAAAATACGTTATTGGCTAAAAACCCAATGGCTGTTAATAAGTTTATTATTATATCAACTTAATTAGACAAACATGGCGTCTGCTTTGGAGCACAGTGTCGAGTTTGACTTTCATATGGAGAATGCGCTTCGTATACTAAATTCGTATAGGACTTCTTCATCTAAGCTGGTGTTGAAGACGGAGCAAGAGACAGCCGTAAAGGAACTATTAAAAGGAAATGATGTCTTGGCTGTTTTGCCGACAGGATTCGGTAAAAGTATAATTTTTATCGTGTATTTGTTGGCACGTAGCAGTTTCGTCGAACAGACTAGAGGCTCTTCTCAAAGCAGTGTGCTTGTGGTTTCTCCTCTGAAAAGCATTATATGCGATCAAGTGTTAGAGGTATCTTCCTTCAATTGCTCTGCGATGGAGCTTTCGAAGGAAACTATTCATCAAATTACAACATCTCCGCCGCAATTTATATATTGTAGCGCGGAAAATTGTATAGACAAAGATTTTCTTGATATGCTCAAGGATGATGGCTCACAATTACACAAGTCTGTGGAAGCAATAGTTGTGGATGAGTCTCATACAATTGAGACATGGACTGGGAAACGGTAAGACCGGTTTTCTGAAACCGCTTCTTCTAAAAGTTTAGTTATGTAGTATGACATTGACGCCAATCTGGTATTGTATTTCTAAGTATTCATATCGCATATCGGTACATTGGGACGTTTTTCGTCTTTTTTGTGTAGAGACATAAAGGGCAAATTATCGAAGTCGAAGGACAGGAAAGCTTTCAGAGAAGCTTATGGAAAGCTTGCAATTATGTAGTATGACATTGACGCCAATCTGGTATTGTATTTCTAAGTATTCATATCGCATATCGGTACATTGGGACGTTTTTCGTCTTTTTTGTGTAGAGACATAAAGGGCAAATTATCGAAGTCGAAGGACAGGAAAGCTTTAGGTCAATGTGCAAAAAAGGCAAGCAATTTATATTATTTTTGTTTCTACAATTTATCTAATATACTCCTAGTCTTAAATGTTAATGTTTATTGACAAGCAAAATAAAGTTTTGTTATTTGTATAAGCATTGTCATGTTAAATTACATTGTCTTTCTTCCTTTATTTTTTCATTCATGTTTTTATTCCAGGTACTCCATTATTAGCTTTAACTGGAACAGCAGATCAAGAAACCCAGACTGTCATTTGTCATAACCTAGCCCTGAAAGACACCACAAAGTTTTCTGTCAGCCCGAATCATCTCAATTTGCGGTTTAGTGTCATCAAGGTTCCAAAAAAACAAATGCTATCTCAGCTGGATTGGATTGTGGAGAAGATAAAGAATGAAGGTATTGCTACTCCCAAAACTATAATATTTTGTGATACCATGTATTCAGTTGCACATGTTGCCAACTACCTGATGATGAAGCTGGGAAGACAGGCATTTTATCCAACAACTTCTAAAGAAAGAGAACATTGTCTTGTGGGCATATTCCATTCTGTTACCCAAGAGAAGTACAAGGAAAGAATTGTAAAATCGCTCAAAGGTGATGGTTCGGAAAGAATTATTATTGCAACATCAGCATTGAGTATGGGAGTTAACTTCCCTGACATTAGATTCATTGTAATGTTTGGGCCACCACGTGATATTTTAGATCTACACCAAAAAGCTGGACGAGCTGGACATGATGGTTTATCATCTGACATTTTAATACATTATGGTCAACAAATTTCACATGTTGATGAGGACGTGAGGGAGTTTTTAAAAAATGATGATTGCATGCGTGTTGCTGCTTACAGGATATATGATCAAGATGTTGTTCCTCTACTTCCTGCTCATAGTTGCTGTGGTTTCTGTGCTGCATCTTGTTGTTGTGATGAAGTTGAAGGAAAGTGTGAAAGAGTATCTGGTCCATACCATTTCAATCTTGTTCCAGATGACATTGAAAATTCTTGTAATTTGTATCGATCTGTGTCTGAAGAAGATAAATGCATCCTTCATGATGCTTTAAAAGAGCAGCAAATGAATATTTCATCTTACAATGCAGTCATTGCTCTTGGATCAGTGTCAAGTCATGGTTTTTCTGAACAAGTCATCACAGATGTTGTTGAGAATTGTAACAAGATATTTTCTGTGGAAGATGTCATAACTTATTCACCTATTTTTTCAAGAAACCAAGCTATGGAAGTGCTTTCTATTTTTAGTGAAGTGTTCAATGATATTGAAGAGGTGCACTTGATATCTAACAATTCATTGGAAGATGATAGCTATCCACCGTTTTCTTTAGACCAGTTGCTAAACAGTGAATTTACAGATACTGATGTTGATGGAGAACTGTTTGACTTGGATGTGATAGACTAAGATGATGTACTAGAAACAATGTACATTTATGATTTTCTGTGGATATGCAGTATATATATACTGATACATCACTTGGGAAAGTTTTCCCTTGGAACCTGCTGCTATTGGGAATAAAATTGATGGACAAACAAACCTAATAACTTCTCAAAAACTCTGTACAATCTAGAAGTGGTTCATGAAGGTATATATTCTCTGAATGCATGCTTCCTGTAACCTTGGGAGCCATATTGTTTCTTTTTATTGAAATGACATGCATACCAGACACGGATTTTCTGGGGGGGGGGAGAAATGATTTGCAACCCCCCCCCCAAAGGCATTTGGCACCCCCACAAATTACATATAGTTTGATTTGATAGTTTCGTATTTGATTATTCTTACTACTAAATTTGTGAAATTGCCAATATTATGGTCTCAGATCTCACCATGCAGGCCTAGAAAACAAATTTTGTCAAACCTTTCCCTTGGCCTTTTAGGGCGTTGCTACCACGCCCTGGCCAAAGCAAGCAGCAGCAGCACCCCCCCCCAGATATTTATCCATGCCCCATCCTTTCCCCCCCTGAACGAAAATATGAAAATCCGTCTCTGATGCATACAGGCTGTGCATAATGCCTTGTTTGCAATCAGGTCCTGGAAATGAGTCACATCAAAATAAAGCTTATCAAGTAAATACAGTCTTTAAAACTGTTAAATGTGGTTTTAGTAGGGTAATTCTGTTTCTGTTTTAATACTATTTATACAAGATGGCTTCTGACCACCAGCCTGTTTTGATGCTCTCATTTTCACATCGAAATCGCAATCAAAGCATTATGTACAAAACCGAATATAAACATTTGTAATCTACATTTGCTGAAATGAATTTGACTCAAAAATGTAGAAAATATAATTGAGTCTATGCATGTGTTATAGACAACAGAAGTACCTTATCAGAATATTACTAAAAAGACACCTTGGCCAATTAAAAAACCCCTGTTTTTTCATTTTCCTGATCAACATTTACAACCCTAATTCTCTAATTTTTTTGCATATATATCACTATTTACAATAATTAAAGAATTTACAGATGTGAATTAGGTCTTATTTAGATCATACAGAGGTTCCCAGGTTTTAATAAGTTCCAGCATCCATAAGCGTAAATCTTTGAAATTCAAACTTCCCAGCAGACTATGTGGAAATTTAGGAAACGATGGATGTCCTTGTCTGCCTTCTTGATATGTGAATGCCCCAATTGTAAGCAAATCTTTTGTTATTTGTTGTACAGCAGCAAATTGGTTGCCTTGTGTTCTGTAACCAACAGCTGATTGAATTCCACAGTCATTGTCTACACTGTTCAAAATTCGTTCCATTTCATCAACTGTATTTGCAAGTCGGGCAGCTGATGTTTCATTGAGATTTGCCTCTAGTGATCTCCACATAGTTTTCACTATCTTGTTTAGCTGTTCCATTCTAAGATCAAGAGGAATATTTCCTGCTTTCGTACCATGCTTATTAAAAAATCTGTTCCATTTTAAGCTGTGTGCTTCTTTCTTAGATAGGATAGCAACAATCTTCACAAGGTATAAGAAGACAGCATATGCATATTTGCTTTTCTTGTTAGCCTTGAATAATAACAAACACACCTTATAGATCTCAAAAAGTCTCTCCCCATCACCTTCTTTAATTGCATCATGATAGTCAAACAAGATAAGCCCAAATGTAAGCTTAGACCTATGGTAGTTGTATGTATGATCTTCACATCCTTCTTGATTAGTCATTTGATGTGGTTTCAGGACTTGATCATCTGTGTAGGTCTGGCCATGGTTATTAGTTTCATGCCTATAACACAGATTATGTAATATATTATATATGTTATCAATTTTTAAAATATTGTACATAATAATGTACTTTAAATGGGCCCTACAGTCATTTTTTAGTTGAAAAGCCACCTTAAGTAGGGGACTCCACAGAGATTCGTTTGGTTGTATCTTACATGCAGTATCCATGAGTATGAGTACTTCCGCACAATGGAAAACGCATACATGCTGTATTGCGCATGTCAAGTTGCAACAATAACAAAAAAAATGTGAACAATTACTTCAGGTGGCTTTTCGACTAAAAAATGACTGTAGGGCCCCTTTAAACAAATAACCTCAGTGGTCTGACTTATATGTGAATGTTATAAATTATTAACAACACCTGTTCCTTGTTGTTTTGCTCGAGAATACAAAACCACATGAGGATCTACAATGGTAAAAACCAAAGTCATCTCTTTCACCATCACTTGCTTCATATTTTGAGAAAATGACATTATGACATGTAACCTCATGTCTGTAACAAAAAAATATGGCAAAAATGATTAGAAATAGCAAATTTTGTGTGGTGATGAGGTCAATTAGGTCACAGAAAGTATATAATTTATAGTAGAAAATATATAGTTTTCATTTCCGAATATCTTACTTATGTACTCATTAGTGAGTAACGAGTTAAGGTACTATAGCATTTTGTGGCACTGGAAAAGTATGAAAGCAAGGCACACTAGTAACAGAGTAAACTAACACTGAAAAAAAATGAGAAAGGGATATAGGAACAACAGTGTTCCTTAATTTATAAGATATAGTTGGGAACTTTGATTCTTCGACATACATGCACTTACTTTACTCTTATTGAGTGGAAAACATATTTCTGATTACACCCTTCCACGCGGCACATGTACTGTTGGGTCGTGTTTCTCTGTCCAAGCTGTTCCACCTGCTGCACCAGAGTGTCAACATCTTTGCTTTCAGTTACATACTCTTCAATAAATTTTGTGCACAATTCAACAAACCATTTTCGTTGATCCTCTCTAGGTGAATCTCTATCAGGTATATCGTATTTAGGTTCATCTTTATTAAAATAAGATAGCATATAATACAGGGGCGGATCTAGCTCCTGAGCTGACTGATGCATACATAAGAACTCGCAATTGTCGGGGGTCCGGGGGTATCCTCCCCGGGAAATTTTGAAATCTAGAACCTCGGAAATGCGATTTCCTGCGTTCTGAGCAAACTCTTTTGTTCCAATTCATACATCAGAGTCACAAAATTATTTGCTGCATTTTTGGAAAGCACGTAAAAAACTTGAACCTAGCAGCAGCGGTGCATAAGTCTCTATTAAAAAATAGTCAGTACTTACTACTGTGCTTCTTGTAGCCTTAACTTTTCTATTGAAAAACATTTTGGCAAAAAATCACGACAACGCAAATACACACATGCGTGTAACAAAGGTGTATACAGTGTGATCCACTAGTTGCAATGTTGGACTCAAAAGACAGTGTTATTAGGTTTCTTAACCACCTTCCCTGAGGCTTATTCATTTCCACTAATTTGCAATGTTCCATGAGTAAACTTTTTTAGCATTAGAATGGTGCATAAAGGTATTTTGTGCTCTAGTTGGTAAACTTATTTATATACAACTCTGTCTTATGCTGCTAACCTTACTCTGTATGGACAGTGTTGTTGGCATCAGTATGTCAACTTTATTCACCCCTAGCAATAGATGCCTTTGATGTGAATTGCATATTTGCATGGTGACTAGCCCACACTCTAAATTACTGAGAATATTGCCCTGTCACCAGGAAACCAGTAAAACTAACACACGACAAGCACTGAGTTTTAAAATTCTATAAGTATAACTATAGGTACACATGACCCCAAACTTTAAATCAATAGATATATATATATATATATATATATATATATATATATATATATAGTGATACTGTGTGTAAATTGATTTAATGAACTATCTTAGTTGAAAAATGTTTGTCAAATGAACCTACCAAACTGTACAATGATAAACAATATATGATGACATAATTGAATCATCAGATGTCTTCTATCAGTCCCCTTTTGCCTGCCTTTCAACTAATATATTAATATAGTACTCTTTTAAGATGATGTCAATGTAGAAAGGCTGCGCAGTAATATTGATCAATATTTTCCCTGTGTTACTATATAAATGCACATCTTCGTCAAATATATCCGTACACTTATCAATGGTAATCCTCAGAGAGCCATGCTGGTTATCCAAAACATAGTATTGGGAGAATTAAGCACTACAAATATATATAATTTAATTAAATCTATACCACTTTTGTGAGCAAATTTCATAATTATAACCTATATACACCAGTTACATGCAGTTATATACAGTATTTATAACGTCCATCATTTTATCATTCTAAGATTAAAATTTGTCAACAGAATGACATATATATACAGCTTATATCAAATGATATTTGCACCGACAAAGCATATGTACCAAACTATGGTAGGCGAGCACGCCCAGGTAATGATCTTTGTAAACTTGCAAAATATCCAGTGTACAGTAATTGCCCAATAACTCAGGCAGTGCAAAGCAATTATACTCTTGTCATGAGGCATGCCAGCTCATTTCCATATAAAATGAAATGTAATGTTTTCTAACCAATATTGCATCACTATTAGAAATCCAGCTCATTAACCCATTAAGCGCCAGCGCTCTCCCCTTGATGAGTAAAATCATCTGGCGTTAGACAGAGTAAAATACTAAAATAGGGTGCATCAGGGTGCAATGCGACTCAATGGGTTAATTAACCTGCAATATTATTATGCATTGTAATTACATACAGTACATGCAGAGCCTGATGCAAGTCTTGAACGACACCAAAGTTTTATTTTTAGTACCGGTATCCAATCAAAATGTGCCAGGCGCAATGTCAAATTATTTCACATAATTTAACAACAAGCTAAATATAGTTACAATCACTATTTAATCTATCATTATTTAATTATATATAGCACTAACCAAAATATCAAAAAAATACATTAAATATGGCATGAATACTCATGCTAGAAGTAGCCGGCAATCAGAGTTACAACCATAAAGGCAGTTGTAGGACACAAACATTTAATAACATGCGACTTTATCAGGTCTTCATTTTTCTTTGCCCGCCAGCTGTGAGAAAAATGAAGGTCTGCATGGGCACAGGTTATATAAATCCCATGTAAACAGAGATGAAATTTGCCTCAGTAAAGCAAGCTGTCAAGTTTGGTAATGGGGCTGGTTTGCCTCCAGACAAACAAATCTCTGTAAATACTGTAAAATGTCTAAAATGTCAAACTACCTCATCCCCCCACCCCCCTCACAACCCCCCTCCTGGTATGAACAGCAGTATCAAATAGACACAAACTTTAATTATTATGTTATAAATACATACAAATCTACATTAACTGTGGAGCCAATTTTCCACTTTATGCACTTCTTGAACTGAACAATTAACAATGTACTACAATGTAAAATATACATAAATTCCACTTACTTTAGAGCCCTAGTGGCCGTAGTGGGCATCTCACATTCTCACAGTATAAATATACTTCAATTCTTGTGCTCACTGCTCAGTTGAAAGATCAAATTCATTCCAAACCTTGGTAATTAATTCGACTGTAACTTAATTGCTCTCCATCATATTCGAGGGATATTTCTTCGCATTATTTGTTCATTTGCCTATGTGTTTGCATATCCTTGCCGCCATGACTTGAATCGAATGCCTCGTTACGTCACAGTAGATTTTGATTTTGAAATTTGCATCAGTGAACTGATGCAAGCGCCCGCAATCTGCATGCGATGCATCGCTCAGCGGACTAATCTACCGTGACGTAGGGCTTTAAAACAATAGATTTGATGATGTCACAGTAGATTTTACGCGGAAAAGGACTCGGGACCGATGCATTCACTGATGCAAAATGGCTGAAAATCGATGCAAACAAAATCTACCGTGACGTAGGTGATGCATCAGCTTTCTACTGTGACGTCAAAGGATGCGGTAAAAAATAATATATTTTGTCGCGAAATTATTCACGCTTAAGTGTCGCAAAATAAAAAGTAAATAACAGAAAATACTTTTGCGATCGCACGTCGCATATTGGACTTATTTTCACAATTTCGACTGTTATTGAGACAATTTAAATTGGATTTCATCCTAAATAGTGTATTCCCGACATGGACAGTCACATGGAGTCAAGTTTAAGCAAATATTTGCAGTTTGATAGCTGGAGAGATTCAAAGATATTCTATTACTGAGTGCTTGACTAAGTATTGACGACATATTATTTCAAGCAACATGATTTCTCAATTTTGACCGATGCATTCGCATCGTTGGCATCGATCTGGATCCGCCCCTGATATATATATATATACTTATGGGTTATACAACTGTACTGTACCCAAGTATCATCCTTACCATCCATATTTGACATCTCAGACATTTTCATGAATGATGCACATATATGTGCCTCCACTTCACATCGATGGAAATCTTTATACTCATTGTAATGATTTTCAACACCTTTACTTGCATTTGTCTTGTTCGATCTGTTCATGCTAGCTCGGGAAGTGCCAATCTCAGATACTGAAGAGTGATTAGTGAATGTGTCAAACTCAACCTAAATAAGGATAATTTGCATTGCTAATAAGCCACACAATTTTACCTATCGATTATGGTTCAATCTCTGAAAAAAATGCTAACTCTACACTAAGTAGGTTAACCAGTCAACTATATATAACCATCCATTTGTGTTACTAGATAATACACCAATGTTGTAAAGAGTACGGTAAACACTTGGCACTAATGGCAATTACATTTGGTCATGAAGATAAATGCACAGCCATGGTGGTACATAGTTAAAGGCTTTTTCAGATAAACTTTAAATACCATAATCCTACCTCTCAGGCTCTCACTAAACATAAACAAATATAGTAGCTTTGTATTTATGACAACTAACCATGAACAAGTTAAGTTTTGCATGCCAATCTGCAAACTCGGTAGAAATTCCATCAATTCGATCCCAGGCATTATCACCATCCTGATAGGTCCATTTTGTATTCCTTGCCCTCTCTTCAAATAGTTGGTCCCCATGCAGTGGCACAGTTTCTAAAATGATCTTTTCATCAGAAATAGTGCAGTTTGGAATGTATTTCTTTTGATTTACTTGGAGCAGCTGTGCAATCTCACTTGCCACATTGGAGTTGGAGAAACTGATACCAAGACTGCACTATAAATATATGCATGATTGATATGGTACACAGCAACACTGTTTAAGTGTTTGAACTTTGCCAAGTATTTGCAAATAACCCTCCCCACCAACGATGCCCATCTCATCTTTAGGTTTTGCTGGACTTTTTTATCAGGCAGCAACTGGATTAAGTCGATGTCTTTTAAGGGTATCTGTGGACTTTTCGTGTCAAATGATGGCTCGTTTATGCGATTTCGGATTGCATACTGTTGGGTCCAATGGATGGAACGGTTTGTATGTGTCTGACTTTGAATCTTTGCTTGAATATTAATGTCAATGTTGTCACCGACTAATCTACACAAAAAAATTAAAACAAAAATTCTATTATAATGACATTTCCAAAACGCATAGGCTTTCTTTTTGACTCATAGGCATTAGGCCCATATTGTTTTTGCTACTCCCGCATAGAGTCCACAGATGAACAACCATAAAAGTGATAAAACATTTCGAAATGTGTTGAAAATTGTGCCCTATTTTTAGAAATCGTATGTTATGTTTACAAATAACATAACATAAATAAACATTAATAGATTCTTTGTATGCTTCAGAGTACGATTTAAAAATAGAAATATAACGCTTTGCAATAAACTAATTTATATACATGTCACAAAAACAAATATTATAAAAGGAACATTTTTCGCTGGCGTATAATTGATAGAGTACACAATTAGTGTACATTTATATTATAATTCGTTTGTTTTCTAAACACAAGTCGAAATAAAAGTGACAATTACTTACTTGTACAATGGAAGCTTTTCGCATGACAAAAGGTTTATTGCTTCTACCAAATGGTCATCGTTGATAGTGCAATCGCTGTTAGCAACTGCTTTTAGCACTTCCTTGCAATGATTATAAGTGTCAGTAGCAAATGTTGTATAATCGGATACTGTTTCCTTAGAAAAACATACTGTAGATTCAACTTCCATATCATCCTCGTTTGGCACACGGACTTGTTTTTCCTTTGTTTCTCCCAGAAGTAGCATGGCTTTTCGGTTGTTTTCGATCTCTTTCTTCCAAACAAGAACCTTTCGCAGCTTTCGCCCATTTTCCTTTCCATCTCGATAATCATTTCAGGAGACATGCAAACAGAAAGTTTATTCAAACGCCGAATGTCATTGTATTTAGTACCGCTATGAATTAGAAGAGAAGAAATGCGATATGCCACTGCTGACATCTTTTGATTTCGACATCGGGCTGCGACGGCGGAGGCCAAAGCAATCGCGTTGATTTCTTTTACTTTCATTTCAGAGTTTATAGCATTGCATGCGCCCGACACACAAGCCATCCAAAGTGGACACGATTGTCGCACCTCATTAACTAAAAACTTGTTCGAAAATGATTCCAAGTCCTCAGGACTATTCTGTTTCATCATTGATTCCGAACTATTGCTGCAATACATCTTAAATTCAGCGGCAACTGCTTTTCTCAGTGGCTCAAACAATTCCTTTCGCAAACATGGATGTTTGTAAAATACGTTCGCAACAGTTTTCCATTTTTTATTCACGACGTTTACTATTAACGATTTCGTTATGTCATCAAATTCATGGCTTTTCTGCACCCGACCATTGGGACTAGCAATGACAACTTTTACTTGGGTGGTCGTTTTTTGGTGAACAAGCTGTTCGATGTTCATTGCCGCTAGAAAATTATCGGCAGCGCCATCATCTTTTTCATTATTTTCGTCGGCATCACCTTCGGTTGTTTTTGATTCTGAATCCCTAATATTGTCGTTTGAAAACAATGATTTTTTGGCGCATCTTCTTCTTTCGATTGAAGGTTTCGGTTGTTTTTTTGCTTGCGGACTGCGTTCAGGGCTATCTACTGTTGTCGGTAATAGTCGTTTCTCTCTGCCAGGGTTTTCATCGTCAAAATTAGGCACGTTGACCAAAGAAATTATCCACGCAAACAGGCCGTTTGCATTGCGTATTTTCCGACCACAAGATTTGCAAACCCGTTCAGATAACTCTGCTTTCCTTTCAACGAATATATTTAACTCCGTCAGCAGTTCACACAAAGTCTTCTCACTACAATCTTTCCTATATGGTGGCTTGAAAAGCTGTTCAGAAGATACGTATGAGGTTTTCTCAAAATTTCCGAATTTCAATTTCAAAGGACATTTACACAACCTGCAAAAATCATTCACAGACAAAGGTTTTTGCCTTCTTCCTTTGTTGACGGTCTTCTTTGGAGTATCTCGCTCACTCATACTCCACACATCTCATTTTTTAAGCCTACGGCACTTTGTTTACAATTCACGTATCTGTCTGGCTTCGCTAGTATTTGCAACTTTTGCAACATATCAATTTCATAGCGTAATGTAAATATTGCAAAAGTTGAACTCTGATTGGCTGTTGGAATAAACTTTTAATATGGGCGTGAAAGGGGCGGCAAACGAAATCATATAGAAACCCGGCAGACGGTTTTTCCCCCTGCCGCCGAAAGTTATTCCCGCCCTAATTTTCCCCGCCCGCAACCTCCCCTAAAAACCGTCTGCTACGCAGGCTAACAAATATGTGAAATCAGCCTCTATTTTAGAAATATAGCCTGACACAAACCTTAATCCGATCGCTTTCCACCCACAGCAAAGTTTATATTTAGTATCCAATCAAAATGTCGCAGGAGAAATTTGCAACTAACTGCATGGAAAACAAATAATTTCGTGTGTAATTTGTTTGTTTCACAATTTTTTAATTAATGAATTGGTACCGTGTTTTGAGCGTTTTTGTATAAAAATTGGTATTAAGATTTGGAGTAATGTTTTTTCTTTTTCCTCGGATCTGACCTAGATTTTCATCAAAGGCATATAAATAGTATTGTTATATAAACTTTAGTGCTTTATAGAGATGGCGGGCACTGATAAAAGTGATGATCTCACATGGGAGATTATTTATGATAATCTCACAAACATGTTAAAATTATCGCTTTTCAATGTCGCTTTTCTGTATTATCGTTTTTCAAAGCCTGTCCTTTATATAATAAACAGTAAAATACATGGGTGCTTGGGAATAGCAGATTTATTTCTTGTGTTGAACATCACTCGTGAAACATGTTCAACACTCTGTATTTATTAACTATGCTAAATATTTCATTACAGACAATGGATTGTAATAATTTGCAAAACAGTTATGTTCTTAGAATTTTATGTTTTTGGGGAGAGGAGAATAAAACAGAGTACAAAACATTTCATCTCCTTTAAGGAGGGGGGGGTATTAAATATTTTCCGACGCTTTTGGGGAGGGAGGTGCCAAATGTTATGGTAGAATTTTGGAATACCCTCCACTCCCCAGTACACATACTTTATGACCAGTCCTTTATGATACATATTAATACTTAGAAAATGAATAGGAAACTAAGTTATTTCAAATTCATCAGGTTTACGAAGAATTGCGTTTTTCTTCGTTTTCCCTATAGCTATATTCCGCATTAATTAAATTACCTATATTGAGATTCAAAATTGTTTCGTTGTCTTTTTGAACTCAAGACTTGATTTCAATATAAAAATTCGCAATTAACATTCATATTGTCGTAACAGCTAGTGGAGATTGAGAATCAGAAATTTGTATAGTACCGCTGCGGCAACATCAACTGATCAGCGTATAAAACAAAAACAATTTTTATTAAATTTAATATTTTACAATTTTTATCCGTTAAATTTAATATATTTACAATAATTGTTGGCATATAATTTCTTCAATAATTTTGCACATTCTCCCCATGATGTAAAGTACGTTCCGTGTCAGTTAGTTAGAATAAGACTAATGAACTTCTGTGCTTTTGGGTTACTATTTTATAGTTATGTTCCCGGTGTTTTGTATTTGAGGTTTCTACACTGCTCAACTGAAAATTTAACCAGTGATTTTCTTTATAATTTTATGTCACATTGTATTTCGAATGTTAAATACAGTTGCATTATTTTATTTTTATTGAACCCTGCGTACTGTAAGGTTCATGCATAATATGTATGATATATATCGAACAGAAACTATAATGCGTCCATGCAGTTAATCCTCTGTAAAACGTTCTGTGATTTCTTTAATTAAACCTAAGAATTGCCATGGTGCTTATATCGATCTATAAGATTTCTATGATATCGATACGTTGTGGCATGTGGGATTTTACTTCCGATTCAGTCTACGACGTCGTTCACGTTGTGTTTAGGACGACATTCAGAACGTGTGCTTTAACGTCCTCTCTAGAATGTAAAAACTAACAAATTTGGCTTGTTTGACAAAAATATGAGAGTAGGCACCACAAAAGCCATTCTATGTTATTCCCCATACACTGATAAGTTTGTATTCTTATTTATACGGCTGCGTTGATTTTTGGCAAGTACTATCATTGCCATAACAAAAAAATAGGACTGCAAGTATTGTTGACCACTTCAATATTGCTTCTATTTCTGGCCAAAGAAATATTTTAAAGCACAAAAGCTGAAATACAGCAACAAGACTTTAAAATGAAGAAAAAAGTAGGAATATGGAATAATTAAAACACTTAATTTAATTAATTCACTCTTTATCACCACGTCCCAGTCGCGTCGATCTCGAGAGATCGACGGCTAGAAATTTCATATCTTCGGTTCAGTGCATGCTATGAAGACAGAAATACCAGCATTCGATTCAGAAATAAAAGATACAACTAATTCCTCACTATAGTTATAGCCATTATCAACATTGTAGCGATTTATAGGCCTTTGAAGTCAAACATGAACATATTGTATCAAATTTATACGCAATTGTCTGAACAAAAATATAAACTAGCCATACCTTTCGCCGAAAATAACTTCGGCCCCTTCGAACATATCGTCTTTGTAATAGTCTTGTTCGAATCCCCATCAAAAACACTATTTAGAGTGTTATTTGCAAGCCTGTATCTCCAAATCTGTATCTTTTATCAATATATTTCCATTTCTTGTCCGACTGTGGCTCGAAGTGAGTTAATCCTAACCGGAAGTACGTCTG